GCGCCGAAAAGCAAAGGGGAGCGGAAAACCAAAAGGCGCCGAACACCCTACCAACGCCGCAAACCAAACAGGCGCCGAAAACAAAGGAAACAACAAACAAACAAACGAAACAAACAACGACAACAACACCAACAACAACAACAACAGCAACAGCAGCAACAACAACACCACCACCAACAACAACAGCAACAGCAGCAACAGCAACAACAACAAAACTCCGAAAACCAGCGGGGCGCCGAAAACCAAAGAGATGCTGAAAAAAACCATAAGAGCGCCGAACATCAGAGCAGCGCTGAACAGCAAAAGGGTGCCGAAAGCCAAAAAGCATCAAAACCCAAAAGGGCGTCAACAACCACAGGGTCGTCGAACTTGACAAGGACGCCGGAAGCCAAAGGGGCGCCGAACATCAGGAGAGAGCAGACAACCGAAAGGTCGCCAAACACCAAGAGGGCACCGAAAACCAAAACACTGCCGAAAAGCAACGATGCGCCGAAAACTAAAAAGAGCACCGAAGACCAAAACGGCGCCGAATAATAAAAGTAGCGCCCGAAACCAAAGCGGCGCCGAAAACCACAAGCGCGCCGAGAACCACAGGGGCGCCGAAAACCACAAGCGCGCCGAGAACCACAGGGGCGCCGAAAACTAAAAATGCGCCGAAAACCAAAGGAGCGCCGAAAAACAAGGGGGCGCAAAAAACCAAAAGGAGGACGAAAACCAAAGAGCGCCGAACGCAAAAACGTACGCCGATGACCAAACATGCACCGAAAGCCCGAAAACGACCCCGAAAACCAAAAGGACACAGAAAACCAAAGGAGCACCGAAGACCAAGAGGGCGCCGAAAACCAAAGGGGCGCCGAACACCCAAGGGGTGCCGAAAACCAGAAGAAACGCCGAAAACCAGAGGAGCGCCGAATACCAACGATGCGCCGAAAGTAAAAAGGGCGCCGAACAACCAAGGTGGCGCCGATAACCAAAAGGGGGCCAAAAACGAAAGTGGCGCCGAAAGCATCAGAAGCTCCGAAGACGAACAAGGCGCCGAAAACCTCAAAAACACTGAAAACCAATGGGGCGCCAAAAACTGCAGGTACGCCGGAAACCAATGGGGCGCCGAAAACCAAAGAAGCGCCGAAAACCAAAGGAGCGCCGAAAACCAGCGATGCGCCGAAAGCCAAAATGGCGCCGAAAACCAGAAAGACGCGCCGATAATCAAAAGAGCGTTGAAAGCAAAAAGGCGCCAAAATCGAAAGGAGCGGAGATAGCCGAAGGGCGCCCAAAACCAAAGGGACGTCGAAAACCAAAGAGCGCCGACAACTAAAGGGGCGCCGAAAACTAAAGGGGCGCCGAAAACCAAAAAGGTGCCGAAAACCAAGAGGGCGCCGAAAACCAAAGGAGCGCCCGAACCCAAGAGGGCGCCGAAAACAAACGATGCGCCGAAAACCGTAAAGGGTGCGCCTAAAACAAAAACAGGCGCCGAAAACCAAAGGAGCGCCGAAACCACATGAGCGCCGAAAACCAAACGAGCGTCGAAAACCAACGATGCGCCAAAGGTCCCAAACGCGCCGAAAACCAAAAAGGCGCCGAAAACCAAAGAGTCATGGTAAACCACAAGTAAGCCGCAAACCAACGGGGCGCCGAAAACCAAAGAAAAAAAGTAACTTCGAACCTTCCTTTCAGTAAGGGCCCTCCGGCTGGAAAAGCCAACAGAAAGAGGGGAGGGGGCAGTAGCTTCGGAGAACCCCTCCCCCCTTTGGAAAGGGGAGCTTGCCCTGGGCCCCGAAAAGGAGGGGGGGGTAGCTTTCAAGCGGCACCCCCCTTTAGCCAGGGATCCCCTAGCTACAAAATCCAAACAGAAGGAGGGGGGAGGGGACCTTCGGAAGCCCCCCCCCCTTGTAAACGGGCGCCCTGGCTGACCCTGGGCCCCGAAAAGAGGGGGAGGGGGGGGGCAGCTTCCAAGCCCCTCTCCCCTTTAGCTAGGGCCCCCCCCCACCCAACAATACAAACAAAAAAGGGGGAGATGGGGGGTAGCTTCAGAAGTGCGCCACGAGTGCGCTCTTCCAAAGCTAAGGACACACAAAAACATCCATTCGATAAAAATTGCCATACCTAAGGAAAAGCAAGGTCTTGGACAGCTGGTGCTCGCGAAATCTTTGATATGAGAACGTTTCGTGACGTCGAGGTGCCAGAACAATATGTTTTCAAAAGGTTGGTGGCTATCTGGTGTCCAACAGATTAATTGTCCTTAGGTGTTTGTAGCCTTTCCCATTTGATTTCGCATGATGTCCTTAGTTTTGTTTTTGGTTTCATTGCGTGTTTTTGTTTTTGTATTCTCGCCAATTCGGGCCCTGGCACTGCGCCAACCCTCGCGCCGCCAGAAACAAATAAACGGAAATACAACAAACAGTTAAAAACAAAACGGCATTTCAAGACATCCATGCGAAAAGCTGCAACACCTCAGGAAAGCAAGCTTTTGGACAGATGGTGCCCACCAAACCTATGAAAACATAGTGTTTCGTGACGTCGACGCGCCCAAACCAAATGTTTTCATATATATATATATATATATAGATATAGATATGTATGGTGGCTATCTGGTGCCCAAAACAATTCCGCATGTATTCCAGATGATGACTTCGGCTTGTCTGTGTTGTTTGCGCGCTTCTGTATTTTCTGCACGTTGAAGCTGCGCTGGCACCCGCGCCGTCAGAAACATGCCAGCGACAACGCAACAACAACATAACATGCACAAGGAAAGATCTAAGGACATCCCAAGAAATCCTTGCGAAAAAGCTGCAACACCTAAGGACATACACGGTTTTGGACAGCTGGTGCCCACGAAACCTGTGATAACACATGGTTTCATAGATTTGGTGGCTACCTGGTGTCTAAAACATGGATTTCCCTTAGGTGTTGCGGATTGTTTGCGTAGATGCCTTCGGATGTCCTTAGCTTTTCGTTGTGTTCAATCTGCTCGGTATGTACTGTAGTTTCGACTGTTCGCGCGGTGCGAAGCGCTGCTTATGGGTGGTTTCGGACACGCGAGCTGTCACAGAACAACCCAGAAAGAGTCCTCGTCGTCCAGGCCTCAGCCGAGAATGGCAACCATCTCGGTTTCTAAGCGCAGCCACCTGTGTGACAGGATTCACAAAATATTCCTACGTCAGCATGTCTCATTCGACCAAAGAGGGGTTCGAGGAAAACGTCGCCGCCATTTCCTTGACCCACGCAGACATGTTCCTGAGGAGGACGGAGGACGGCAAGGCGACCGTGATAAGCAATTTCCAACACGCGACGCGCCGACACGGTCTATATTACATTCGGAATGTTTGCTACTACGTTGCGAAACATCCTCCTTCCGACGATGCCATACATGCCACGACCCGCAGCGAGGCTTTGCATAGACAGCTGAAGGCTTTCTATAAGAACGTGGTGTTCCAGACCCGTCGGCACGCAATTTGCGGTGCCGATGTGGCGACGGTGTACAAGCTCTTCGATTCGTTCACGTCACAGTTGGCGCAGGATGTGACGCAAAGCGTCGATGAACACGACGTCGTCAGCAAATGTTGCGAACACCTGGGAGAGAAGGCGCCATTGAAGTTTTCGCCTCGCATGCGCCATTCTGTCCATACCAATGAGAGCGTGGACCTTTCGGAGCTCCCGCCCAATGCGAAGCGCATTCGCAGGCGGCCAGCCAGTTCCGCGGCGCAATTGTTTCACGTTTGTTTCGCACTGGCGCATCTGGGTTGTGGCAAAACACGCTTTACGTTGCCTGACAATCGTCTCGAGTCCGCCTTACAAAGGAAAACGCCCAACTAGTCCATCCATGTGGGATCCTGCAGGGCACCGTTCGGCATGGAGCAGATCTCGTTGCATGGAATCGCTATTTTAATCTAAGATGATCCAAGTAGCAAGGTAGCAGACACTAAATCCAGATGTGTTCAATAGGAATGCGGTCGGATTCTCAGAACTTAAGCGGATACGTGTCCAGAGGAGTCCACTTGGATGTGAGTGGAACCCCAACGAAATGCAAATAAGAACGGGCACGTCCCAGATGCAGAGGAACCAATTTGGGTCCCAGTGCGGTTCCGAAGCACATGGAGCATGCCAGCTGGATCCCCATACGCTTCCATTTGGATTGTAGCAGACGCCACCCCTGGAACACCTCAAAAGGCAAAAGACATGCCTCACACGGAAAGGGAACGGAAGATAACAAGAGAAATATATAGAGAGAGAGGGAAAGAAAGAAAGAAAGAAAGAACGAGAGAGAGAGAGAGAGAGCACAAACAAGAGAGGAAGAGAGACAGCGATCCCCCATCCAGTCCTACATTTTCCCTCCACCCAATTCCCATTCGCTCTCGGGCAATAGCTCGAGCCTCCTGCGGCCGGTCGGAACGAGCTGGGCACCCTCGAAGCGCCCTCGGCGAGGCGCAGCCGCTGGACTGCACCCCGAGTCTGGGAAACCGCGGAGAACCGACAGAAGCACCCGAAAACCCTTCTCTGGGCTTCGTCCGCTTCGATCCTGCCGCAGCGGTGTCGGTATTCTTGTCCGCCGTCGCATTAGCTTGTCCGTTGCGGACTTACCTTCGACGGACCATCAATCGCTCGTTCCTGTCCCGTGCCTGGCGCGCTGTGAACACAACGAACACCCGCAACAGGGCACGGTGCTAACTGACTTCGCTCGGGGCGGGCCTCGCCATCCTTCGTAACTACCTTGTCGAGTCCGAGGCCCGCCCTCTTCTTTGAGCAGGGACCCGCCGTCCCGGCATTCCTATAGCCCTACCACGAAATTCTCTTAGAAAACATGTTCTAGTAACGAAAGCAATGTTCTTAGAACATAAACCCGATGAGTTAAAGCAAGACGGTCCCAGCCAAACATGTTCTAAGAACACTTCGTGGAAGCCACAAAAGGTTCTTAGAACATTGTTTGGTAGGGCTACAGGCGAGCCAAGACGCTTCGCCACTGCTTGACTTCTGAGATCCGCTTTCGCTTTCCCCCTCCGAGCCTCCCACCGGCTGCCCGCCACGACCAACCCGCAGGCGCCCGCGGCGGCCGCACGCAGCAGCAGCGCGCCGCACGCCGCCGCGGAGCCGCCCCCGACGACGAGGGCTACGCTCCCGCGGATCTCGGCCTCCCAGCCCTCGCCCGGCTCCGCCTCGGCCTCGGGCCCCTCCTCTTCCTCCTCCTCCTCCTCCTCCTCCTCCTTGTCCCTCCTCCTCCTCCTCCTCCTCCTCCCTGTCCCTCCTCCTCGCTCATCCTCCTCGTTCCTCCTCCTCCTCGTTCCTCCTCACTCCTCGCTCTTCCTCGCTCGCTCCTCCTCGTTCCTCCAAGTTCCTCCTCGCTCCTCCTCGCTCCCCCTCGCTCCTCCTCGCTCCACGCTCCACGCTCCTCGCTCCTCGCTCCTCGCTCCTCGCTCCTCGCTCCTCGCTCCTCCTCCTCCTCCTCCTCCTCCTCCTCCCTCCTCCTCCTCCTCCTCCTCCTCCTCCTCCTCCTCCTCCTCCTCCTCCTCCTCCTCCTCCTCCTCCTCCTCCTCCTCAGACGAACTCTTTCTCAACCGCGCGACGGTCCTCCTCCTCCTCCTCCTCCTCCTCCTCCTCCTCTCGCTCCTCTCCTCCTCCTCCTCCTCCTCCTCCTCCTCCTCCTCCTCCTCCTCCTCCTCCTCCTCCTCGCTCCTCCTCTTCCTCCTGCTCATCCTCCTCGTCCTCCTCCTCCTCGTCCTCCTCGTTCCTCCTCCTCCTCCTCCTCCTCCTCCTCCTCCTCCTCCTGGTTCTTCCTCCTCCTTCTCCTCGCTCCTCCTCTTCCTTCTCCTCCTCTCCTCCTCCTCCTCCTCCTCCTCCTCCTCGCTCTTCCTCCTCGCTCGTTGCTGCACAAACTTAGCAGCCTGGAGCGTAACTGGATGTGAGAGAAAAAGAAGGACCCCGACGTAGCGGAGCGGGAACCAATTAAACCTGGCGAGCGCAGCAGACAAGGAAACGCAACATAACAGAAACGACGAGGGCCCCCATGGGCATGGAGTATGCGCCCGCCAGACGGTATGCAGGAGGAGGGACCGAGCGAACGAGAACCGACGACGAACATAACCAAAACCACAAAACGAACAAGTCGACAATGAGGGGAAGAGAATTCGATCAACACGCGCACAATATCTGAGACTAAGGTGGCGACTGTGGCTGAGTCCCGTGGGCTCTGCCTCACGGCTGGCTATGCTGATTCAAAGTCACGATGCTGACCCCAACCCGCCTCCACCATAGCTAGTCAAGCCAGTGGTACTACGAAATAATCAGGCGGCGCTGTAACGTGTAGAGGCGGGCACAGCTGTTAGTATGATTGCAGTCTGCTACTGTGTGCCGAGCCTCAATGGGGCTGTGGGACCACACCCTGAAGTCCAGGAGAGCCTGGGAAACTGCTATAAGGAGATGGCAAAGCCAGAGAAGCACACGGAAGGCACAGTGGGAGATGTGTCGAGTACTGTCGCAAGCTGTAGGCTGGCCTGTAAGCAGAGAAGATGAGATGATGTAAAGGCTGGCTTGAATAGATGTACGGTGCTGGCCAAAGATATCTCCAGCCTAGACTTGGCAGGAAGCGATCGAAAATTTACACGCTGGCCTGAGACGCTGTGAAGATGAAACGGATTGACGGCACTGGCTGGCACAGTGAGCGAAAGCTTCCTCCACACCCACCACCAATAAACGCCTCCGTCCCCCCGAATGGACACCCCCCCTAGCTAACAACTCACCAGATTGTACTGGCTGGCCTGTGTGGCAAAGCAACTGATACTGATGCAAGTGGCCGGCTCAGGTACTGGCTGGCCTATGTGTTCAACAAATGTAACGCGTGTTGGTCCAGAAGGGAGTGCTGCATACTGGGCAGGCGGCGGTCGGGTAGTCCACAAGGGGAGCGTCCTGAAATTTCTCCCCTACCGAAGTGCCAACATTGCAACTCAGCGCAACCGTCGTATTAACGGCTGAGGGTAGAGGCTCGATGCATAGTGGCTGGCTCAGGCGGTACTGGCTGACCAAGGTTGTAGTAATGTGTGCTGGATTGCGGAAGCGGGATCGCTACGATGGGACACGACTATGGCCGCTGTACAAGCAGCTGAAAAGAGAAGCTGGCAGAGGACATCGTGTACTTCGCCAGTCGGCCAGTTCAAATTCCTTCGCCTCCGCCGCCACCTACAATGAACCACAACCTCCACCTATGTAAGATCAAGGGGGTCATAGAACAGGCGGCGGCTGGTTGTGTCCCAGCTTGCTAGACACCCAGTGACTGTGAAGCTTAGACGTCTTGGGGCCATCTCCGTGATGTCCAGGGGGGCAAAAATGCTTGCATCTCCTCCGCCAACTCCATACCCTGCCCCAATCACCCGAACCCAAACCTCCAATGCATGTAGTGTAGCAGCCGTGCGGAGCGTTGGCGGAGGCCACGTGCTCTTGGCCAGTCGGCGAAAACACATCAAAAGTGAACGTGCTGGCAGCTGGAATCTGATGTATAGGCGTGAGAGGAAAAGCATGGAAAAGCGTGCGATGCTGACCTCCTCGCTTGTCCTCCTTCTCCTCCTCCTGCTTCTCCTCCTCCTCCTCCTCGCTCCTCGATCCCTGCTCCTCCTCCTCCTCCTCCTCCTCCTCCTCCTCCTCCTTCTCCTCATTCTTCTCCTCCTCCTCCTCCTCCTCGTCCTCTGTCCATCTTCCTTTTAAATACTCCTCCCTGTCGCATCCCTGGACGTGTCGGTAGGGCGGGGTGGGCCTTTACCATTGAGACTTCCTCACCAGCTATGATCTTGAAACTTGAAGTTGCAATACTTTCACGGAGGCAGGTCGCTTTCACAATGTGTCTTTCGCCTTAGCGCCGCGCACAGTCGTTTGAAAAGTTGGAACCGTTTCACGGATGGATGGCGGGACGTTTTCAAAATGTGGCTCTCGCCTTGCCGCCGCGCGCATTCGTTGCTAAACATCGCAACAATTCCACAACATCGAAGGTGGGCCGCTTTTCAGATGTGGCTCTCACTTCAGCGCTGGGCACAACCGTTTTGAAAGTTCGCAGCAATCTTAAGGATTCGCATGGTCAAAGTCCCAAGAAATGTGTTCTGGCAAAGTTTCGGGTTGCCAGAACGAAGCAGTCACGTTGATTCGCGGTGTTGACGTCCCAGGACTGGCGTTCTGGTACGACTCGGGGCTGTCAGAACACAAGAGTCAGGTTGACTCGTGACGCTGACGTCCCAGGCATGGATGGTGTTTTGGTGCGACTCCTCGCTCCTCCTTCTCCTCCTCCTCGCTCCTCCTTCTCCTCCTCCTCCTCCTCTCCTCGCTCATCGCTCTTCCTCGCTTCACCTCCTCCTAAGGCGAGGTAAAGGTGCTAGATGAACTTTGGCGGCTCTCCAATCTGGTCTGGCATCAACCCAGCGCTGAATCCAGGTCCAATCCAAATCCAATTCTCGTCCTCGCTCCTCCTCCTCCTCCTCCTCCTCCTCCTTCTTCTTCTTCTTCTTCTTCTTCATTTGGTACATAGAGCCCTCGCGGGCACGCGAGGGAGCACTCGCGCCTCGGGCGTCTCTCTTGGGGATCTTGGGCGTGGTGTGTGCATCCAGATCTCCCAGGGGCTCTAATTTTTCAGCTCCAGCAGTCTTCCTAGACCTCGGCCTCTGGAGCACATTTTCAGGCTCCAGGACAATCATAAACGGATCCCGGACGGAAAACTATCCCCAATCGGGGCTGTTGGCGCCGCGCATAGACAAAATTCACATCGTCATTTCACCAGGCCCTTGCCTTTTGGTCAACCGGGACTTCTCGGCACACCCGAGACAAACAGCTGCGGGCGCGAGTCGAGGCAGTCTCCATCATTCATGCTCTCCCGCTGGGCTCGATCCTGGTTTGCAGAATCTGGGTATCCACGGATCCTTTTTGGAGCCTTTTGGGCCCTCTTGAGGCCAACTCGAGTGACATCGATGGAAGAAGTGGGGACGTCCTCGATTAGCCTTGCCACTTTGGAGCCACAATCATCTCCTCGCGGGCCCTCCTGGGGCGCTCTGGGGGTGCTTTGGGGTGCTTTGGCGCGCTCGTGAAGTCGTATTGGGGCCCTCTTGGGCCCCTATTGGGGCTCTTTCGGGCCATCTTGAAGTCATCTTGAGGCCTCAGAATTTGTTTAAGAAGCGAAGAAGCGTGAAGCCACAATCAACGACTTTCCCAAGGTTGTAGAAGGATTTGACCCCCTGGGAGGCATCCTTGGGGGTCTCCGTGGACACTCGAAGCCGTCTTGGAGCGATCTTGGGGCCTCTTGGAGGCATGTTGGAAGCTATCTTGAGCCATATCGGGCAGTCTTGTAATATCTTGGAGGCCATCTTGGGCCACGTGTCTTCGAGCCATCTTGGAGCCATCTTGGAGCCATCTTGGGTGCTCTAACCCCTCGCGGCCCTGCGAGGTCCAGACCCAGGCGGAAGGGGGCCCCCAGATGGCCCTGCAGCTGGGCGTGGCGGTGGCGTGCCCAGACGCCGACGTCATGAATTTCTCGCAACGCAGACCCCTGGAGGTTCGGACCACTTTCCAGGGACCGGCTCATGGTCCTAGGGCCCCGCGAGGGCTCCCAGAGGCAGGGAATAACCAAAAACCGTGTCGTGATTTTCCAATCCGCGGACCCAGAAGTCCCGACCGCTTCTCCAGGGGCAACTGTTCGCCCGGGTCCGTGTTTGACGGGCCAGGGCGCGAGGATGGCCACCGCGGGCCAAAACCGAGGAAAGACTCGCCAGCTGAAGGAACTACATCGCTGGAGATCTGGGTGCAGGGCGCCCCCCAGCGCAACGCGTCGGCGCCCTCCCGCGGCAGCGCCAGGGGCCCCTCGTAAGACGAAGCCGAGGCAGGGACAACATCAGACCAGGACAAAGCGGGATCTCTGAGTTCCGGCGGCTCTGCAGGCTGCATCGGGCGCCGCGGCCTTCTCAGAGTGCTGTGGGACGCTCTGGAACGATTTACCCCCAGGGCTGACCTGAACATCGTTCGCAAACACTGATTCCCAAACCGTTTACGAACTGTTCGTTTTGAACATCCCTGTTTCCCCTCAACCGAGCGGCCGTGGGCAAGGCCCTTAGGGGCCTTGGAATTCGCGAACGCATGGCCCTGAACCGTTCGTGAACAGTTTGCGAACATCCGAACATGAACATCCGAACATCGATACTGCCACTCCCCGGACCTCTTCTGGGGTGCGTTCTGACACTCTGGAGTGAGTTATCCCTGTCCTGGCCCTGCCGCCCCCTTCTCTGGACCCAGGGGGGGGGGCCCCAGGATGAGCCCCGCCGGGCGCGGACTGGTGGCGTGCGCACGGGGAAACACGGGGGTAACGCCAGCGTGACTCCCGGACCTCTCCTGGGGCCACAACACCGCCGTTTTGAGGCACTCCTCGACGAGCTCTGGCTGCTGCAATGGGCCTCGACACTCCAGGGGGGCGGAACAGCAAGGTCGCATCCAGAACGAGATTAGGCGCACTCCTGGCCCTTCGGCTCGGCATCATCAGCCTCCCCGCCGCCGGCACTCCTAGGAATCCTGCATTCGCCCGCCCCTGTCTCCCGAGCCCAGAATTGAATCGATAAGTCGGATTGGCGATCGAAAATATTCGGATCAGTGGAAATCGGCAGCCAATTCGGGAGAAGTCGAATCAATCGGCGGAAATCGCCAGGCTAATAAGGCCTCCATAGAGAAATCGGAATCCAAATCGGAATCCGAAGTCGGAATCGGACTCCGTCGAAATCAAATCGAATCGGAATCAGAGGTACATTCTGACCAGAACTGCGAAAAGAATCTGTCCGTGGCGACAAGGACTCTCGACTCTCCGGGACGAGCAGCGGGATCGGTGAACCTCTTCCTCCTCTGAGTGCACGTGTGGCAACGAGGGCTGTCCAGGACGAGCAGCGGAATCGGTGACGCTCTCCTCGTCTGGGTGCAGGTGCTCCCGGGCGCGCCTTGTCGGCACCCTCGCGCGGCAGCGCCAGGGGCCCCTCGAGCTGCGGCGCCTCGAGACAGTACCATCACCATCGTCATCGTCATCGTCATCATCATCACCACCATCATCATCATCATCATCATCATCATCATCATCATCATCATCAGCATCAGCATCATTATCATCATCACCATCATCATCAGCATCATCATCATCAGCATCATCATCATCAGCATCAGCGGCATCATCACAATCATCATCACATCACCATCACCATCACCATCACCATCACCATCATCATCATCATCATCATCATCATCATCATCATCATCATCATCATCATCGGCATCATCACCACCATCGTCATTGGCATCGTCATCATCATCAGCAGCAGCATCACCAGCACCAGCAGCCAGCAGCAGCACCAGCACCAACAGCCAGCAGCAGCACCAGCACCAGCAGAAGCCATCGTCATCATGATCATGATCATCATCATCATCAGCAGCAGCATCATCATCGTCATCGTCATCGTCATCATCGTCGTCCTCATCCTCATCCTCATCCTCATCATCATCATCATCAGCATAATCATCATCGTCGTCATCATCATCATCCTCGTCATCGTCGTCATCGTCATCATCATCATCATCATCATCAGCAGCAGCAGCAGCATCATCACCACCATCATCGTCATCGCCATCGTCATCGTCATCATCGTCATCCTCATCATCTTCATCCTCACCCGCATCATCAACAATACCGTCAATTATATCATCACCAATAACTCAATCATCACTATCACCCGTAACAGCGGCAACGGGATCACCAGCAACACCATCATCAACAACATCAGCAACAATCTGATCCTCGATGTCGTCGTCGCCTCTGCCGTCGCCATCATAATCATCGTCATAATCATATGACGTGGCGCTGGGTTTTGCCTATCGATTAGGTACTTCGTCTCGGGCCTTTGGGAGTACTTCCAGGGTTACCCTGGACTCACCCAAGAATCACAAACTGTCCTGGGTCGTGGCCACCGCCGCCGCAGCCGCCACCTCCGCCGCTGCCGCCGCTGCCGCCGTCGTCGTCTCCGTCGTCGTCGTGTTCTTCGCAGTCGTCGTCGTCACCGCCGCCGCTGCCGTCGCCACCGCCGCCGTCGCCGCCGCCGCCGCCGCAGCCGCAGCCGCCGCCGCCGCCGCAACAGCCGCCGCCGTCCCCGCCGACGTCGCCGCCGCCGCCGCCACCGTCTTCGTCGTCGTCGTCGTCGTAGTCGTAGTCGTCGTTGTCTTCGTCGTCTCGCCGTCTCGTCGTCACCGTCGTTACCACCGCCGCCGCCAAAGACGTCGTCGTCGTCGCCGCCGCTGCTGCCGTCGCCGCCGCCACAGCCGCCGCAGTGGCCACCGCCGCCGTCGTCGTCGTCGTCGTCTTCGTCGTCGTCGTCGTCGCCGCCGTCGTCGTGCTTGTCGCCGTCGCGGCCGCCGTCGCCGTCATCGTCCCCCTCCTCCGCCGTCGTCATCGTCGTCTTCGTAGTCATCGTCGTCGTCGTCGTCGTTGGCGTCGTCGTCGTTGTCGCCGCCGCCGCCGCCGTCGCCGTCACCGCCGCCGCCGCCGCCACCGTCGCCGCCACCGTCGTCGACGCCGTCGTCGTCGGATCTGTCGCCGTCGCCGCCGTCGTTGCCGCCGCCGCCGTCGCCGCTGCCGCCGTCGTCTTCGTCGTCGTCGCCGTCGTCGTGTGTGTGTGTGTGTGTCGCCGTCGCCGTCGTCGTCGTCGTCGTCGTCTTCGTCGTCGTTGTGTTTGTCGCCGTCGCCGTCGTCGTCGCCACCACTGCCACCGTCGTGTTCGACGTCGTCGTCGTGATCGCCACCGTCGTTGTGTTTGTCGCCGCCGTCGTCGTCGTGGCCGCCGTCGCCGCCGCCATCGTCGTGCTCGTCCTCGTCGTCGTCGTCGTCGTGTTTGATGCCGGCGTCGTCGTCTCCGCCGCCGCCGCCGCCACCGACGTCGTCGTCGTCGTCGCCGCCGCACGCGACGGCGTCGGCGTGTATGTCGCCGTCGTCGTCTTCGTCGTCGGCGTCGTCAGCGTCGTCGTCGTGTTTGTCGCCATCGCCGTCGTCGTTGTCGCCGCCGCCGTCGCCGTCGCCGCCGCCGCCACCGCCGCCGCCGTCGTCGTTTTCGTCGTCGTCGTCGTCGCTACCGCCGCCACCGCCGCCGTCGTCGTCGTCGTCGTCATCGTCGCCGTCGTCGACGTCATCCTGTTTGTCGCCGTCGTGGTCGCCTTCGCCGCCGCCGCCGTCGCCGTCGTCGTCTTCGGCGGCGTCGTCGTCATCGTCGTCGTCGTCGCCGTGGTCGTGTTTGTCCTCGCCGCAGCCGCTGCCACCGTCGCCGTCGCCGCTGCCGCCGCCGCCGCCGTCGTCGGTCGTCGTCGTCGTATTTGTCGCCGTCGCCGTCGTTGTCGCCGCCGCCATCGCTTTCGCCGTCGCCGCCGCCGCCGTCGTCGTCGTCGTCGTCGTCGTCGCCGCCACAGCCATCGTCTTGTTTGTCGCCCTTGCCGTCGTCGCCACCGCCACCGCCGTCTCCGTCGCCACCGCCGCAGCCGCGACCGCCGCCGTCGTTTTCGTCGTCGTCGTCGTCGTGTTTGTCGTCGTCGCCGTCGCCGTCACCGTCGCCGACGCCGTCGTCTCCGCCGCCGCCGCCGTCGTCGTCGTCGTCGTCGTCGTCGTCGTCGTCGTCGTCGTCGTCGTCGTCGTCGTCGCCGTTGTCTTGCTTGTCGTCGACGTCGCCGTCGCCGCCGCCGCCGACGTCGCCGCCATCCCCGTCGCCGCCGCCGCGGCAGCCGCCGCTGCCGCCGTCGTCGCCGTCTTCGTCTTGTCTGTCGCCGGTTTCGCCGTCGTCGCCGCTGCCGCCGTCGCTGCCGCCGTCGCCGTCGACGCCGCCGCCGCCAACGCCGTCGTCGTCGTCGTCGTCGTCTTCGTCGTCGTCGTGTTTGTCGCCGTCGTCGCCGCCGTCGCCGCCGCCGCCGTTGCCGTCGCCGCTGCCGCCGCCGCCCCTGCCGCCACCGCGGTCGTCGTCGTCGTCGTCGCCTTCGTCGTCGTCATCGTTTTTGTCGCCGTGGTCGTCACCGCCGTCGCCGTCGCCGTCGCCGACGCCGCCCCCGCCGCCGTCGCCGTCTCCGTCGTCGTGTTTGTCGCCGTCGTCGTAGTCGCCGCCGCCGTTGCCATTGCCGTCGCCGTCGCCGTCGTCGCCGCCGCCACCGCCGCCGTCGTCTTCGTCGTCGTAATCGTTGTCGTCGTAGTCGTCGTCGTCGTGTTTGTCGTCGACGTCGTCGTCGTCGTGTTTGTCGCCGTCGCCGACGCCGTCGTCGCCTCCGCCGCCGCCGCCGTCGCCACCTCCGCCGCCGCCGTCGACACCACCGCCGTCGCCGCCACCGCCGCAGCCTCCGTCGTCGTCGCCGCCACCGCCGCCGCCGTCGCCGTCGTCGTCTTCGTCGTCGTCGTCGTTTTTGTCGCCGTCGCCGTTGTCGTCGGCCCCACCGCCGTCGTCGCCGCCGCCGCTGCCGCCGTCGCCGTCGTCGTCGTCGTCGCATTCGTCGTTGTCGTCGCCGTCGCCGTCGCCGTCGTCGTCGCCGTCGCCGTCGCCGCCGCCGCCGCCGCCGTCGCCGCCACCGTCATCGTCGTGTTAGTCGTTGTCGTCGTCGTCGTCGTGGTGCGTCGCCGTCGCCGTCGCCGTCGTCGCGCCGCCGCCGCCGCCGTCTTCTCGTCGTCGTCGTCGTCGTCGTCGTCGTGTTTGTCGCCGTCGCCGCCGCCGCCGCCGTCGCCGCCGCCGCCGCCGTCGTCGTCGTCGTCGTCGTCGTCGTCGTCGCCGTCGTCGTGTTTGTCGCCGTCGCCGACGCTGTCGTCGTCGCCTCCGCCGCCGCCGCTGCCACCGCCGCCGCCTCCGTCGTCGTCGTGGTCGTCGCCGTCGTCGTCGTCGTCGTCATCGTCGTCGTCGTCGGGGCGGCGCCGCGGCGCCTCTGGCGCCCAGGGCGGCACCGCGCCCTCGAGGCGCAGCACGGGGTCGCCCAGCCCCCCCGCGGCGACCAGCAGCGCTCCGCGGCAGGCCTGGCCGCCGCGGCCCGCGGGCGCCCGCGGCGAGCCCCGGCCGACCTGCTGCGCCTCCTCTAGAGAAAGCAAGAAAGCATCATCCCAACGTCGGCCCTAATGTTTAGGGCATTGGCGTTGCCGCGCCCACATGCAACTCGCAACCCGTGGCGTGGCGACACGGAGCTCGGCACGTAGATTGAAAACGCAGGTCTGGTGCGATACGGACGCCAACAAGTGGCCAAACACGTGCCGAGCCAACACGCAGCGTGTTAACACGAACGTTTTAAACATGGTACATGTTGCGTTTCGAGACGAGCCTATCAGGACAGCTTCGATCATGAAAAACCGGACCATGAATCCAGGGCCTGGAAGCCGGTGGAACTCCCATCGTGGAGTGGCCGTGAATATCATTGACGCCCTCGCTGGATAAGGAATCCTCCAGAATCTGAAGCCTCCTGGGCACATTGATAAACGAAAGCCCTCACCGTATGAAAGCAACCACATCAGCAAAACCAGCAGAGGTCTCAGAAACGGCAACCCCTATGACCAGGCAGACACCCGTCATGCTAAAATGCATGTGGGGAATCAGCATACACTTTAGGAGGTCCAGGCTGATTTCTTAGATCGGCGCTGTGGCCCCCACCTGGCGGCGCCTCCGGCGCCGGTCATGGCGGGCTCCGCGCGTGAGGGGGGGGGGGTCAGCGCAGATCCAGAAGATCCGCGTAGAGCTCCGAAAGTTTATGTTTATGCGATTTCTTCATCCCCTATCCTCTGCGCAGTCGCCCGCGGCAGCCAGGGGGTGCGAAAGCGCACCCCCCCGCCCCCACTCGCCCTCGCACTCCGCGTGTCCCCCCGCCTCCTCCTCGAGCGGGGCCGAGGCCCGAGGAGGCTCGAGGTGCTGCCTGGATGCTCCTGTGAGGTTCAACGTCGTCGTCGTCGCCGTCGTCGTCGTCCTCGTCGCCGTCGCCGTCGCCGTCGCCGTCGCCGTCGCCG